TAGCTATAGCAGTGACTGAGTTATTAGTGAAAACAGACTTTCTCGCTATGCTTTGTATACTGGACTGCTGATTGTTTTCTCATGAGAATTTGAGAGAAAATATTAATTATGCTTTCCTTTCCAGAATTAGAATTCTTTTATTTATTGCTTATTGTACTGTTTTCAAGTTATTAAAAAGTTTTGCATGACACCCCCCCGAGGAAACAATGTTTTTACCGTCCTCTATACCATTTGAATTCTTCAGATTTTTGCAATGGGAAGTTGGTTAAATTACTTATTAGGATAATTAATATTTCTATTAAGCAGGTGTGTTTGTGCTCCGGGGAAACCCTGGAATTCTGGGGATTTTGAACTTCGATCCCCAAAAATTCCGGGGATCGTCGTTCAAAAGGAAGTAGGAATAATAATGAATTATTTATTTTGATCTGGGTAATTTTGTTTGCTTTGAAAGCAGAAAACGCAAGGTCAGTGTGTGTGTATAAAACTTTTCCTTTCTTTCTCCAAAGGCAGTGATAATGCGTGAAAAGGGGAGAAAAACTTCTTTTTTGTTCTTTCCTTATTGCGAGTTATGACTCATTCCCCCGGTTCTCGGACATTCTCTTCTGGATTCTTTTTGGCAAGTAGGCGTGGCAGAAAAAAATAAAGGAGAGACTTTGTTCGACCAGATGTGCAATCATGTGACTCTGGATTCAAAGGTCTTATCCAAAGAATATGTATTGTTAAGAAGGAAAGCTTCGCAGCAACAGGAGTGGCTCCCTCCGAACGAAAAGAGACACAACTACGCATGCATGAAATATCTGCCACCAAAAAGCGCCAAAGCTCGAAGATTATGTCGAAGTTTGAACAAGTTCAACGGTCACGTTTATCAAGAGTTAAAAGCTGTGTGACTCCATTTTTTCCCCCTACATATTGACAGATATAAAATTAGACATTGCGATATGGATGATACAAGTTCAACTAGTAAAGCAAAAAAGCACGAAAATTCGAGTTTAAATTATCGCGAAAAGTCAAAAAACGATTCAGCTTAACCCGTGTTCCTCAATTTCCTGTACACGTGGCGGAGGTGGAAAATCTCGGCCAGGTACATCACAAAGGGGGAAATTCTCGCCAACAGGTTCCATCGCCAAATCCCTTAGTCGCCTTCCCTCTTCTTTCTAGCGGCGTAGAAGACAAACTGCTTTACATTACGTCTATGGAGCCTTTCCTTCTTTACATAGACTTTCTTTGTCTTATCTCTCCTGGCGTGGCGCCAATAAGTAGAGAAGGGGGATTTTTCGCCGTATTAGGTATTGTCATTGATCGCTTCTCAACTTTTTTTTCTCCGCTGTGTAAAATTTTCGTTTCATTTATTGATGCACGTGTAAATTTTTCGTTTCCTCTATTGAAATCATTTTTTATTTATGTGCGCAAGAGAATTTCACTATGAAATTTCTCGATATAAATAGTGATATTATACAATTAGAAGAAGGTGTCCGGAATGCATTTAGGTGGAATTGGATTGAACGGAGAGATGGTAATGGGGATACCATCGGCACATGGTGCAAGAAAATAAATGTTGCTGGACAAGCATATTGTGTTTTTTGTAACTCACTGCTGAAGTATGGTGGGGAAGGATTCAAGGCTTTCACAAATCATTCTAAAACTGTGATGCACATAAAATATTCAAAGTGCATTAGACATTCAATGACTTTAAGTAATTATGCTAATTCAAAAAATACTGATGACTTACTGGAGACTGATGCTGGGCCATTGGATATAGTGACAAGAAAAGCACGCCAAGAGGTATTAATAACTTCGTTTATCGCCGAGAATTCTCTTTCTTTCAATGTAGCTCCCAATTTAATTGAACTCTGCAAACAGTTGAGCCGCGATCAGACGGCACTAAACTCGTTGGAAATGTCCAGGACTACTGCATGTTATAAGATGAAATATGGGCTCGCAAAAACTATTAAGGAAAATATCATTAAAACTTTAAAGGAGACTCCATTTTCTCTAAATTTGGATGAAAGTACTAGCAATGCGCAAGAAAGTATACTGGCAATATTGGTGCAGTTTTATGACAACAATCAAAATTAAGTTGTAGTTCATCATTTTGCATCTCTAAGGATGGAATCTTGCAATTCAGAAGCTGTTTTTAAAGCAGTTGTTAATACTATTGAAGATAATAATATTCCATGGGCAAACTTAATTAGTGTATGTTCCACGCATGGTGTTACATAGGACTCATGTAACACCATGCGTGGAAAAAAAAGGGTGTTGAAACCAGACTACGATCAAACAAAGCACCCCACTTATTAGATATTGATGGTGACACATGTCACACAGCTAATAACTGTGCAAAAAGATTTGCTTCATGCTTTGATAGATACTTAGAAGATTTGTTCGATGACATCTATTTTGATATGAAAAGCTGCAGTAAAAGAGAAAATTTTTTCTAAATCTGTGAACCCCTTGCCATTAAAAAACTTAAGACCCTTGAAGAGACCAGACCATAGGTGGGTGTACATTTTATGTGTTTTAGAAAGAATCAAAGATCTGTGGGATGCTCTTATTGCATTTTATTTTCACTACTTGGATAAAACTGATAAAGGGGATTATTTTTCTTATGTTGAAACTGTATACAATAAAAGAAATATTTCTGCAGCTCAGAAAAAAATTGTTGAAGGGGTGTATTCTTGCTTGCATTCCCAACAACTCACAAAGGATGCTTTAGCTCGGAAAAAAAGAATACTAAATGGTTTATTTGTTATGCAAAACAAAACATTACTGCATATGGCATTATATTCAGCAGTATTACCAGAGTTCAACACATATATTAAATTATTTGAAACAAAAAAAAAAAACCAATGCTTCATTTAATACATTCCAGTATTTATAAATTGATGGCAAAATTTTTCTCTTTTTTTATGAAGCCAGAAAATATAGAGTGCACATCTTATAATGATTTATTAAAGGTTGATATCACAAATCCAGAATTCCATCTACCTAGCAAAGTAATATTTACTGGTGCAGAAGCTTCCACTCTCCTGAAGAAATTATCAAAAAATCATCCAATAGCAAAAGAATTCCAAATTTCTCTGATGAAAGCTTATACTAATACAGCACAGCATATGAAACAGAAATTACCCCTTAAAAATTCATATCTAATTAGTTTTACAGCATTAGATCCAGAGCTAAGACCAGTACAATATTAGCTTTTGAAAAATTATCATCTTTTATGTCCCATATTTTTAGTGATAATGAAAAGTCAAAAGTAGAAGCTGAAATAAGGTTATACCAGAGTGATATTGATATCACCAAAGAAATGCTCTACACATCTGATGAAAGTGGAAATCAAGTCAAGTGTACAATTGATAAATATTGGTCTAAAGTTTTTAATTTAAAAGATGATTTCACAAATGATTATAAGTATCCTACATTGGCTAAATTGGTCAAAGCCTGCCTTAGCTGCTTCCATGGCCCATTAGTGGAAAGTGCATTCAACTTAATGGATACACTTGTCACTGACTATAGAACCTCTCTTAAGATTGATTCCCTAGATGCAGTGCAGACTATTAAATATGATTTAATGGCTTCTAAAGAAACCTCATGTGAAAAATATGGCTCAAAAATCCAATGACTGATCCAATTCACAAAGATCTCTTACTGACTATGAACAGAAGTTGGAAAACATATCAAGAGGACTTAAAAACTTGTATTTCAGATGAGTCACCTATAAAAGTCTCTGAAAAACCTTCTACATTAGCAGAAAAGCAAACTGCTTCTACCTCTGCATGTGCAGTTCTCGAGGAAATTTCAACTATAAATAAGGAAAATAAAAGTCAACCTTCCTGCAATTATGAAGTTCACCACAAAAGAAAGACAAGCCCACAAACATCAGAAAATAAAAAAAAGCAGCAGAAATTAGATAACTTTTTTTTAAAGAAATAATTCAGGTAATTTAAAATATTTACATAAAATATAGTAGTTTATATTTATGGTTATTAATTTTGCAAAAAAAAAGTAATTCATTGAACTTTTATAATTAGGTCATTCAATACTTCATAATTGTAATTTTTCTTTTCTCTCCCCCCTTCTCGAAACTCCAAAATGTCTGTTAGTAAGTCCGTAAAAGTTTCAGGGGATTTTTTTGGGGTCCCACAAACACCCCTGATTAAGTTATATTGCTTATTTCATTGTAATTTTTTTCATATATAATACATTTTTTTGATAAACTTGTTCTGGAGAGTAAAACTGTGCAGTTTTTAATTTAATGTTTGGTGTTCCCTTATGACATTTTTCTGGCACGTTTAAAAGCCAGACAAATGCTGGCTGAGTAGTGGCTAGTAGTTTTATAAAGGATCATATTTTAATTGCAACACTAAAAAAGAAACAAAGCAATAATTAACATCTTCCAGTGGTAAACAAGGAGCATTCAAGGAAAGTCTTTCAAGTGTTGGTCATTGATTAAATAAAATATATCAAGATATGAATGCTTGAAAAATATCAGCATATGGTATCGTAGATGCTAAAGAGAAATGAGACTACAAACATGAAATTAAAAAAATATATATATTATATATATATATTTTTACTAGCTTTGAGGCTTATTATGTTTGCTAGAAATGACTCAGTTATGAATCACGAAATAAATAGAAAATATTAATATTGAAACATAAAATAATTTTTAGATTTATTTAAAAAATTATATGGGTGTATGCAGAATTATGCAGTCTGGTTGACTTTTTTGGGGGGATACCTTTGTTCATTTGATATTGAAGTATCAGTTTGCAATAAAAACTAAGCTGTTGATCGTGGTTATAAAAAAATTCAGTATATTCAGTACATCTATTTTACTTTCTCCAGTTTTTTATATAATTGAATTCAGACTTATAGATTTGTGGTTTTTTAAAAAAAAATTCTATATATCCGTTCTTTGTCTGACTTACCTCTCCAGTGATAAGTAATAATACAAAATTAATGATGCAAATAATGTAGTTTTATTTCTCATTCCTTTTTAGGACGATGATATCAAGACTTTAGTAAGGCAGATACTTGATGAAGCAGATCTACAAGAAATAACTATGAAAAAAGTAATCAAACAGGTAAAACAAGTTTAGTTATAGTTTAGTTATAGTGTATAGTTTCCATAAATATTCTTTTAACTTTACCATGTGTCATAGGTTTCAGATGCGTATCCTGATTGTGATTTGAGTCATAAGAAAGCGTTCATCAAAACAACAATCAAATCAGTAAGAGTGTTTAATTTCTTTGTTTTAAAAGACATTTTTGTTACCAAATTAAAATTGTCTTATGGTATTTCTAAATATGTTTTCAGTTATTTTTCACCCAGTCCTCTAATCTCAGAATACATTAACATGGAAAAGTGTTTAGAAAAATATGCTTTACAGATTGAATGCAATGAAATGCTTTCGTGTAGAAAATTTAAGAAACACCATGAATGCAAAAATTATTAAAATTTTCTGCTTTTGATCCTTAAAGTTTTTCTCTCGATACATTTATTTTTTCTTTCTCTTTTTTACCCATACATTTCATGACCCACAAGAATTTAAAAACTGAAGAAAGGATTCTAATCTTGTCACATGAATAGGCATCTGCGTAAAGGAACCATTATCATTTCGCATTCTGGAGACACTCTGTGTATGGTATTAAAGAAATAAGATTAGGAGCTTCGTCTAGTAATCATATGCAGTTTTTTAGAATAACAAAAGTCATTAATTTGAAAACTTGGAGACAAAGCAAAAAAATTGATTTTAATAGTGTCCAATTAAATCTTCTTTAAAATATATGACAAGTGTAAATATAGGTTCTCAGAAATTCTCGTTAATTTAATGTTAAATGCTTTACAACATTTAAAGAGTTCATTTTATTTTAAAATTTCCTTTATATGTTAGGTTATATTTAATAATAATAATGCATACACATCTACTTCTGTTTTATACTTAAAATTGTATTGCAAAATGGAGTTAATTGCTTAAATTTATTCAGATCTCATTTGATGCTAGGTAAGCCCACCAGCGGCCAAGCGGTAAAATCACTGAACACTGGTAGTTCGGTCCGAGGTTCGAATCCAATGAACGGGCTGGCTATATGGGCGTTTTCGTGGTTTTCCCCCATGTGTAACGTATATATGAGCCAGTTTCCCTTAGAAAGTCCCCCACGAAGGCATCCCTTCCCTTAGGCAGATAGCCCTAGTGCGCTTTACCATATTCTCAATACGCCACCTTGATGATAGGTCCATTATTGTTTTCATTCATGGTTAATAAAAGTTCAAATTTGTACAAATGCTAAAGCAAATATGTTATAAAAATATCATTTGCTCAAAAATCTTGAAATCATTCAGTGGATAAATTTTTTTCTATTGTGAATACATAATTTCAATTTTTGAAATGAGTAATCCTCATTTCATGAAGTTAATGGATATGCTGAGTCTTGAACATAAGCATCTATCTCAAGATGACTAAATGTATAAATTAAGTGATATGAAAAAGAAAGGAATATTTTAATAAAATAATGTATATGATGATAAGTAGTTGCTCTAATATGTAAAATCAGCCAATAATGTGCATCTGTGTTAGAACGGTAGATGGAACTGTACTTTTAGTAGAAACTTGATAAATCATTAAGACTACAAAAAAGTGGAATTATGCTGATCTTTGCTATTGATGCCATTTAAAAAGTTGAAACTAAATGTATAAATTTTATTTTTTACTGATAAACTGATTTGATTGCACATGTAGGAAAAGCAGTAGAAAACAATTTATTGTTTTATTAGATGTGTAGCACATACAGTACAAAGTCTAAGATTTGGACTTGTCTGGACTTCAGCTATTCTGGGTTTGGGATTTTTCCAAATATTAGATCATCAATTTAAATCTGATGGCAAGCAGAAATTATTCAATTAAAAATATTAAATCGTAATAAATGAAATAAAGAGCATTTATGAGCTAAAGGGAATGAAAATTTACAAAAAAAAGCTTAATATTTATTTGTTTACTTTATTAATTATTTCTTTCAACGCAAGTTGTTTAAGTTGCTCTTTTTTTTTTTTTTTTTTTTTGCTAATACTTTCTCTTTAATTCTATAAACAGACATAATTTCTTGTTCAGTTACAAAGTTCCACTGTTCAAGGCCTGTAATTGCTGTCTCGAGAATTCTGACTAACTTGTCAATCGAAATTTTTCATTTTCAGTAACCTCTCACTTTCTTTACTATCAATAGCGGTATTTTCTGGATTTAGAACCATACTACAGATTTTGCCGTCCGTTAATTGATTGATGATTGGGGCATTGCCCTTGCAATGAAAAACATCTGTTGTATCATCTTCATTTATTACTGCTTCTCCACATTTCTTTAGGAAATCCATTAACTGGAAAATTTTGCCTTTACTTTGGAATGTTTTTGGGTTAACCAACCTGCTGAATATGTGCATTCAGTTTTTAAGTTCATTTTTTCATGAAATATTTTGGCTTGAGCCATTAGCATTGGCCTCGTCAATGTCACGTCCTCACTGCAACGCTGTCTGACACATTCAATCATCACTTTGTCATGATCGTCACTTTTAGCATAACAAACAGTTTTTGTGTTGTTCAGTGGGAGTCCACAAACAATCCCCAAAGTTCCTTTTTCTTATGTCATATACGATTGACTTTCCAATGCCATACTCCTCGCATAATATTGAGACAGATATGCCTTTATCCATTTTTTGCAGCAGTTGTCCTTTTTGTTTAATGTACATCGAAACATGCTTTTGCTTTGTAGATCCTTTGGCAGTTCTAGAACTGGAAACTCTTTCCGATATAATCGAAAGTCCAAGCTTTAACTTTTATAAAATTGCTGTAATAATAACAGTCTGCAAAAGATGGAACTAATTAGAAAATTAAGGAGCAGTGCAGTCTATTACATTAACTGGAATGCCTTAGAATAATTTTGGCGTAGCTTATTAGCTTCCGCCATACATTATAGGCTATGTATCATAAGCTAAGATTGGCGGCGAAAGACAAGTTGTTGCACTAAGTTTTGTCTTGCTTCTATTGCGTGCGGAATTAATCTTTAATTGTATTACTTATTTGTTATACGTACTTCCGATTTTCTGTATATGCTCAAGACTAATCTGAGTCCTGGATAAATAACCTCCCACGTATACTGAAGGCTAAATCTAGGGTCGGCGCTAGATACCACTTGGTGCAGTCTCTGCAGGTCCTAAAATCTGCTACAAAGCACCTTCCTAAAGTTTTAAATTTTCCCCGCCCCTAAACTTTGGATCCCAGTGCTTTCCCTAAATTATAAAAAATTTCTCAGCCCTTAATTTTGCCGTTTTGTGCTTCCCCGAATTTGAACAATTTTGTCTTCCCTAAATTCTCCTGTCCAGTGCAGCCATATTCTGCCTCCGCTTCTGGATTTATGCGAATAACATATCAGTTATTCTTAATTCAAATAGCACTAAATGTAATCTTTTGGCCTCTGAGTTTCATTAACAAAAATCTATTTTTAGCATATGAAAAGAAATTTTTGTTAAAATTTTCGTCAACATTTTTTATTGCATTTAACGTGGTGTAATCATCGCCAAGTGTGATGTTAGCATAAAAGTTTGCCACTCTTCATATACAATTACTAATATTTAAAAAATGTTTAGACATTGCTGCATGAGTCATTACTGAAGCTGTCATGTATTGATAAACATGCGATGATGAAAGCAAAATATAATAAATAATGGTTTGCCAGGTCAGCGTCAGGAATATAAAATACTAGTAGGTGTAAAAAAGTTCTGTTCCTATGTAGAATGTTTTGGTTTGAGATGTATGCAAAGCAGATACTCAGCTATTGAACCAAATTATTAATCTCACAAATTTATGTTCACATGATGGTTTCTTCAATAATGAGTTATTTTATTTAGTGCCTAAGTGAAGTTAAGAATCGGGACTCTCCACGTGTTTTATCATGAAAGGAAAAATCAAATACGCATGTATAAAGCATATTAAAAAAGTTTGTGGCTTTGAGCTCGAGATATTTGTCGTTTAGATCTCGGACTTTGTACTGTATATATCTGTTGGCCTTAAATGTAGATTATTAAATATTATTGAGCTTTTTATTCAAACCATATTTCTTTTATCTTCAGCTTGCAAGAGCCAAATTTAATAAATATAATATAGCATTATTATATACCACCAGACAATCTTGTTCAAGCCAAATTTTATTGAGTACAGTAGAATTTGTTTACATATGCTACCAGAACTACTTTGGTATCCAGTATGTAACTCACTTGGTTGAAAGCTGTATAAATGTCTGGTCAGTTTACATGCAGATTGTGTATGAGACTAGAAATGAAATAAACAAGGCTATTTGGCCAAAAATGTCTTATATGATAGCTAAATAAAATGTATAACAAGTTCTTGTTGAAGCCAGTTTCAATTCTTTGGATAAATTCCTGAAAAATAATTGCAGCATTGCTGAAGCTTTTAAGTTTGTCTAGGACTTGAAAACAACTTTAAAGCTATTTATTAAGAATGGCTAAAACAGCACAATGTGAACATTTAGTGTGGTCAGTACATTTTTTAGTGCATGTTTTATTGCCAGAATATAATGCAAGTGGAAGGGGACAGGCTTTGGAAATACTAACCGGAAAATGACACCGCCTTGTTCAGCATGTCATGCAAGTTTATAATTCATGCTCCAGCTTTCTGCAATACCCATTTTGGAAAGGAATCAATCCAGTCAATGACCACACTTGAGTTCTGAAAGTCAGTAGCCCTTGTGAAAGGAAGCAGAGACGAAAAGGAACGTAATGTCATTGAAATGTAAGGTACAGGAAAAGCTTCAGAAACTGAAATAATGTTTTCTGCTTTTGGAATTGTATACACCTAATTAAAAGATCGGTTAGGGGGTGAAAAGACAGCACTTCTTGTTTGTTTAAAGCACTGAACACAGTTGATACATTCTAAAGTTGACAGTAATGTGGGTATAATGTGACTTTGAAAAAAATAGAATGTGGAGCAGATTTGTTTATTTAGTTATGAATAAAGCAACCCCTATTTTATGCACATTATGTTCTTAAAGAACTATATTGTATAATTTTGAACTTTTGATTTTATTTAAATTTTTGTATAATTTTTTTACTATGTTTTTAATTTAGGTTATTTCGTGACTTCTCGGAGAAGTTCTGTTTGAGCTGTGTAAATCAATGTTTCTGCAATCCACCTCTGAACATCTGTCGTTCTTTTATTCGGCAAACATATGCATCTCATTTTAATATAGTGTAGGCTAATTTGAATATGAACTTCTCTCAGAAAGTGTTATGTTATCATATATTTATGTAGTCTAGTATGTGCAGACAAGAATTATGCATAGAATGTCAGTCTTCATTCATACAAAGGAAACTAGGATGTGGGTTTAAGAATGTGCTTTATGTGACATGTAAACAAATAAAGATATTTATTTTTTTGAAAGACAATTACTACCATGTAATAAAGTAATGTTTTTAGTTCTTTCCTTCTAAAAAAAAGGGAGGGCCGCTGGAAGATAAGTTTTTTTGGAGGGTCTTATTTTTGAGTACTGTACAGTAATTTTGAGTAATTATCCTGTTCTTATTAAATAACTACTATTTTCTGAATACTCACATGTGCAGATAGTGTAAACATTTTTTATTGTTTTCACAAGAGACCTGATTTGGTCATTCAGATAATACTAATAGAAGACAGTACTTGAACATTACAAAATAATAATTTATTTTAAAATAATCCCAGAAGCTTCAGTCATTCTTTACACTTCAACATCGTAAACAAAACTAACAGTCTTTTCCTACAGCAGAGATGTACCCTCTAACAATGATAAAAATCAATCGTTTGTGAGATTTTACAACTCTTTCCACCTGATCATGTTTCAAAAATTAGCACTATTTCAGCACACGAGGGGGGGGGGAATTCAAATCTAGCAGGCAACTTACATATTAAGTACATTTACCTGATGTAAACATAAACAGCAAAAGGGAAACTCTATAAAATTAACAAATGTAGTTAACAGTTCAAAAGCTGTTCAATAAGTAAATATAAAATTGAATTACAAATTTTAAATTATTAATCATTTAAGTAAACATGAAACATAAGAATAAAATAAAAGTTGCTAAATTAGTTCACTTTCTGACTGAGAGTTGAAGGTATATCAGATGCAGAGGTCCCATAAAGCCACCTTTTTTAGTTTTCACCACGCATGATTGTACAAGACCATCACGCCCTTTCAAAACTTGAATTATTTGAGCTAAATCTTGGTGAAACTTAGATTTAGTTGTTCCCTGAAGTAATATTGTGTAACCAATTTTAAGATCCTTATATTTTAGTGTATCAAAGAAATGACCATTTCTTAAATCAAGATGTTGATATTTAATAGTGTCATTTTCTGTATCCCAATCAAGGCCTAAAATTTTGGCATGTGCAAAGGAATCATTCATTGAAAAATCATTCTTTACCTCCTTAGAATTTGATTTAAATTTACGCAGATTCATACTCACGTGCAAGAAAATGGTAACAGCATCAGTTGGTATACCTTTTCTACTGTATTTGCTCCATAATATAAATCAGCATATAATGACAAATTCATTATTTCATAAATCTGACATTTTTAGTAATGTATTTTTTAATATGCTTTATTGTAGCTGCTAAAGTGAATGGACTGGTAGTAATACCAAATGTTATGTCCATAATTTTGAATGATTCATAGTTGTCATTCTGAAATCGAAGGAATTTTAAATATTTGTGATCTTCCTTAGTAATACTTATCGTTAGAAATGCCTTTTCTATATCAGCGGAAAAAATGATATTGTGTTCTTGAAATTTAAGGATTTCTTTGAAAATTAAGTCTAAAAACAACATGGCTGAAATCTGAACTGGTGTCTGTTATCCTGCCATCTAGTATTAATAAAGAAGGTTAAATTTAATCTATAAAGCCTTTTCCATTTAATTTTTCTCTGCATACTGAAAGAAATTTTTGGGCACATTTGTGCCGGAAGGGTTTAAGAGGAAATTCTATGTAAGTATCTTAACAACTCTGTAAGCAGATTGATATCCAAATTCATTTTACCGAATCTTTCTTTTAAGGTTTCTATTTGCTGCTTCATAGTTTTTATTTGTCAGTGTAATTCCTGTAATTACATTTGCAGTTATTCCTTTTAAATACTATAAGTGTCGGTAATTAAATTTATCTGCATCAGATAAATCTTAATTCTATGTATCAGAGTAAATTGCTGAATCTTTGCCAATCAGCAAGATCACCATTCAAACTTCTTATTCTTAACATTGGTAATTTTAAAAATTGTTTTTCCTAATTTTAAAAGAAGCTTGGTTGTTGTATTCTTTGTGTATCTGGCTTCCATTTCCTAATAGTACATTTCAACTTGCATATCTTCACTTTTTCATGATGCTCATCACAATTAATAATTTCGGTTTCAACTTCTTCAACCCTCTGACTGCTCAATTCGTAGACCAAAATCACTTCAAAAATTGTGCAATTTTTTTGGGCATATTTTAAATCTACATGTATTGGAGAATTGAGAAATGCATTTTTCCTTTCTAGAAAATATTTTTATATATAAATATTTATCATGAGAAACTAAGTTTCCAGAAAAACCAATTTCAGACATTATCACCAAAAAAAATTTTTTTTAATAAATTACAGTTAATTTCGATTTATTGCATAATAAAAAAGGGAAATATATAAAATTTAAGAAAATATAAAGCACTGAGGGGAAAAATACCTTAGAAATGCAGTTTAGTATGATAGAATTCAAACAGTGTTCAAGGCAAAGTCCAACTTCACAGTCTTTGCACCAAATTCAATAAATCTAATTAATAATTCAATAATTTGATTAAATAATTAAGATAATCGTTGAATGTTTTCTGGCAGCCATCTCTGTAAGAAAAAAGTGGAGTAATACCACATGCCTTCAAATGCCGCAATTTAATGGACAACTAACGATATCTGTTGGCCAAAACATAAACTGTCTAATACTGTATATAATTTATTTCAGGCGTTAAACGTTGAAAAAACGGGATATGCTCTTCAACAAAGGAAGAAAAAAACATGCCCGTGGGATGAGCAGCCAGAGTGTTAACATGCATATTTTCACTTGAATTTCAGAATCTATTTCTTTTAACCATTTAAATTTCAAATTTATCCCTTCTGAAAGTTCTTCCAACTCTTCTTCTGTTTTGATTTTTCTAAAATTTTAATTTCATCAATTAATCTTGTAGTAAGAGATCTAAGAGTAGTTCCTTTAGCCTTCACTACTTCTGTTTTGAAATCATTTCTAACAGTTCTTTCAAATTAATTTGATAACTTCATTGAACTAAATTTCTCATCGATTTTAATTACATTAAGAGGAGTTAGAAGTAATTTGCAACGTACAGGTTCCTTTCTTAACAAAGAATATTAAATCTTACCTTGTCACAGTTTGTTAATCTTCCAAATCTTGCAGCACACCATTTTACATTATACCACTATGCAAGAAAATTGGTTGTAAACAACACCATATTCTGTATTCCATATTCAAAGCACAAACTGTTTATAAAACTTTTAGTATTTACAGTTTCCCATCCTGATCACCAAATAATAAAAAAATTATTATTATATATCATAAGAGAGCTGATTCTGCACATAATTTCTAAAAGAAGACATTACTTAAACGTTATAACTATACTAACATTCTTTTTCTAAAGAAAAGATATCCCCTGTAACTGTAATACAAATCAGTCATTTCTGGAATTTTTCAACAGTTAAAATATACTTATTGTATAGTTTTAAGATTTACATCCATGCCTTCTCCAGATACAAACCCTGCCCTTCAGTATGGGAGTCAGTAACTGGCCAGCTTAAAAATAGATGTAGATTAAAATTCCTTTAAAAACTGCTTTTTCTGTAGAGAATGTTTTCACTTTCTAAAGTTTAGAATGTAAACTTCAAAATCTGTACTGATAATAAACTAAGTACTTTTATAAAGCTGCAGTAATAACAAGAACTCTTGTGTAACAGGTTTTTTTAAATTAAATTTCGAAAGGTAATGAAAGATAAGCAAGAGGATACATATTGTATTTTGATATGCAAACATTTTTTCATGCAAGAATTTGAGAGGAGCTTTCATTTCAGATTAGCCTCTTTTAAAACATCATTTACGTGTAAGTCTTAGCTCATCATTAAACATTGATTTTATGTTCTTAGCTGTGGCTAATTTACTTATTGTCTGTATATGAGGATTTTATTAAAAAAAAAACTGATGTGAACTGACAAATTTAATGTAACTATTTTTCTGAATGAAATATTTGCCATCCTATAATTTTAATATTGATCTTTTGCATAAATTAAAGCATTACTCTGTTATCTGTGCATCTTTTATGCATTGTTAAAGATTTTGCAGATGAACATATGATGCTGAAGACATGTTGGAATGAAGTTATTTAAAAACTTCATAAAAACAGAATAAAGAATATGGTTTTTCATTATTTATATTAGGCGTTATGGTTTTTCATTATAAAAGTTTTATCAACAATATGGTGAATGTCTGTCTCAGTTTTTGGGAATAAAACTCGAAAGTAAAATTATGAAACATCTATATTTTTTACGATATAGTTGCGGTATTTGCACTGGGTAATTTCAAGTAAATTATGTCCTCCGCCAACATATCAAATATAAACTTTGTATTTCTCACAATTAAAATATTTATTTCCATGCTTTAAAGGTGAATGATGGAATTTCTTTTTTGTTTATGGTAAAGAGTATGGCTGTTTTAACCAGCATGCTACTTAAAATCTTCAGTATAGAAAGTAAAATTTAATCTTGCTGTGTAAGACACGCAAGTTGGGGGATTAGAAGACAATTAAAAACTAGTATGCTTTCTGACATGTAACAAGCACCCTGCAGATATGTTCACAGCTCTGTCATAAATTGCCTTTCCATTTTGCAAGTTTTGCAAAGTTGATTGTAATTTGAAATTCCGAAACATTTTGACTAGTAGAAAATTAAAAGTTTCAGTTTATATGTGTATATATCTACATAAGAATGTACCAAAAATTAGTAAAGTTTGCTGCTTCATTTTATGTAAGTACAAAGTATATCCAAAGTTCAACAATCCAGAAGGCTCGGAAAATGCTAAATAAGAAAAAATTGCAGGTAGTTGAATGTATAAAAATTGCAGTTCATGGTAGAAAAGCCAAATGAATAAAAGAATTTCATTCTAAAATTACAAAAGCCATTTTATATTTATCAACTTGAATATCAAAAGTTTATACAGTCAAAAGTCGTTAATCCGGACTCGTCGGGACTTCGCCGATTCCGGATTATCGATCCGCATTATAGATCATCAGTTTAAATCCCGTAAGATGGCATGCAGAAATTCTAAAATTAATAATATGAAACCTTAATTTATGAAATAAAGAACAATTATGATCTAAAGGGTATCAAAATTTACCAAAAAAAAAGCTTAATATTTATTTGTTTACTTTATTAAACACTTCTTTCAATGCAAGTTGTTTAAGTTGCTTCGTTTTATGTGATAATACTTTCTCTTTAATTCTATAAACAGACATAATTTCTTGTTCAGTTACAAAGTTCCGCTGTTCAAGTCCCGTTAATTGCTGTGCTGAGAATACCGACTAACTTGTCAATCGAAATTTTTTCGTTTTCACTAACCTCTCTGTCACATTCTTCATGTCTTTATCCATTTTTTGCAGCAATTCCACTTTTTGTTTTGTTGGACATCGAAACATACTTTCGTTTTGTAGATCCTTTGGAAGTTCCAGCATCGGAAATTCTATTTGACATAATCGAAAGTTCAAGTTTACTTTTATAAAATTGCTCTTACAGTCTGCAAAAATTAATAAGCGGGATCCAATTCAAAGATTAAGGAACAACACAATCATTAACATTAACTGAAATAGATAATTTTAGCTTACACCGTCCGTTATACATTAAACACGCAGCCAAAAACTTATTCTGCACTTGCGCACACGCATATGCGCAGTAGTCAGTCTTACGCGCACGCGTAAAACAACTGTGCGCATGTGCCAATGCGGCGC